TTTAGAAAGGTTTGATGCACAATGATATATTTTTAAAATTTTCAAAGTGGAAGAAATGAGAAGGGAAATGGAAACAGCAATTCAATTTTTTTTGGTTCAGCTCATTCTAATTTCTTTAATATTACTTGAATTTTAAGATTTCTTGCATGGTTATCTGCAAAGAGATGTTGTGGAAATTTACATTGCTTTTTTCACTGAAAAAGGTTGCAAATTGAATCATCAGTAATTAGAAAAAAAAACTGTTTTTCCCAAATTTTCGTTTGGTTTTTCAAACTTTTTTTTTGTGTTTTATATAGTAATTTAGTCAAATTTTAAGCTTGAAGAAAATTTAAAATAACAAATTTTTTTAAACATCATGGAATTTGTAATAAAAGTTTTACAATTAAGTTTAAAGAAGTATCAAATTTTTTACAGATTTTTAAAGTTGACAAAACAGTGAAAGGAATTTTCAACCAATTTCCAATTTTTAACTTTAGCTCATTGTTATTTTTTCAATTTTGATTCAATTTCGAAACTTTTTGCCGCGTTTATGCACACAGATGTTGTACAAATTTGACAAAACAGTGAAAGGAATTTTCAACCAATTTCCAATTTTTAACTTTAGCTCATTGTTATTTTTTCAATTTTGATTCAATTTCGAAACTTTTTGCCGCGTTTATGCACACAGATGTTGTACAAATTTATATATTTTTTTCTTTGAAAAATGTTGAACATTGAATGAGTTTTAATTGAAAATTTAAATTCTTTTTTTCCGAATTTTTGTTCAATTTAAAAAAACGTTTTTGTGTTTTTGTACAGATCTTAGTCAATTTTCAACATTTTCAAACATTAAAAAAATGAAATGTGCAAAAATGCATCTACAGTATGAAAAAGGTGGAGTTTGATGAAACATAAATTTTGTGGGAATTTTTAAATTGAGAAGGATGGAAAACAAAAATTTTCAAAGTTTTTAGTTAAACTCATCATAATATTTTATTTTTGGAGCAATTGCAATTGTAAAATTTTAGTTGAAAGCACAATGAGATCCTACAAATTTTGATTTTTTTTTCGTTGGAAAAAGACAAAAATTGAGGGAATTATTAATAAAAATAGGATACGATTTTGAAAAAAGTATGCCTAGTCCTGGGATTGAACCGGGGGCTTGCTGGGCCGTGAGAAATGCTTCCCTCCACCCTACTGCCTCTGCTACGGCGCACAACTCCGTTGTGCGGTTTGAGGGTGCCCGTTTTCTCTGGGAATGGTCCTTCTGGTGGATTTCTGCCTGCTGTTCCTTTGGGCGGGGCTTAATGTTCCTTTGGGCGGGGCTTAATGGGAGTGAGTCAAGGGGGCAGAGCTGAGAGAGTTGCGAACTGACGGAAGTGAAGTAGTAACTTTATTATACTGGATGGATCAGGATACATTTAGTTTATGGGCTTCCTGTCAGTCTGCTAACGTAACCCATTTTTAACTTCCCGTATTTTCAAGCATGTAATTCCCCTGCAGACACATTTCCTGTCCACTATCTACAAATGATGAGCCTCAGGAAGTTATCATATAAAAATTGGGGACAAAAAATTCGGAAATTCAGGTGGAAAATCTGAAAATTGAATAACATTTTTTTACAAATTAGGGACAAAAATTCTTTATAACCAGAGATTTTGTAGAAATGAATTTATTAAAACAAGATTAATTCAAGCTGGACCTCAAGGACAACTGCCGGGACTTGGAAAAAAATTTGTTGTAAGCAAAAATTTGTTGTAACAAGATTTGTTGTAATGAGATTCTACTGTATTATTTGCAAAGGGAAGAGAAAAAAGTAATGTTTTAAAATTCACACAAAGGGGTTTCTTGTCTAGTCTGCACAAACTTCAGATAGAAAGTTGTCCAAGTTTAATTATTATTTCTGGTTGCTCTTTAAAAAGAAAAGGGTTGAGATGTCACATAAGTGTGCAACACAGTTGAACCTCCCAAAGTCAAAAATTTTTGAAGTCCCCATCAAAAATCTCCCCAACTCATAGGCTTTTCCTCTCAAACCTCCGTAACTTGAATTTTCTGAAGTCTTTTGACAATATTTTCTTGCCACAGGAAAGAAAGAAGCATTTTAAGAAGTAATTTGATGTGTTTTGAAAGGAAGTGAAAGACTGATAGAGCAAAAAACCCTTGCCTTCAAGTTCAGCATCCTGTCAACGCATTCAAGAAGCAATTCAAAGCCCAAAATATTACCATTTACAATTTCCTGAAATTCTTCTATCTTTTCCAAAACAAAACATGCCTGTTTCCCTAACCCAAAACCTCCCCAACTCAATTGTCTTTTGCTGGTTCCTCGAAATTCTACTTACAAGAGGTTCAACTGCATTTCCGCCGCAAAAAAATAAAATAATTATGAATGGCCAGTCCAAAAATCATCCGGTTTGGACGGAAGAAAAGAAGGTTCCTCTCTTTCTTCAAGCGATGAGCCCCGAGACCTCCGGAGGAAAGTCTCGTCCGTGCCAGGCACACGTCACGCTTTGTATTCATTCGCGGCATAGGCATATAATATCGGGTACCAGGCTGCGACGAGTGACGTAACGAGGGCCATCCTCGGATTCTGCATTATGCGCGGAAAAGCAAATCAGCAATGTCCGGTATAAATGCCAACCCGACTCCTTCCGAGAAATCAGTCCCTCCTCGGGTTTCACCCAGTGATCTGTATCTTATTCAGCAAAAAAAAAAGAAGAAAAATTTTACATATCTGTATACACAGTTGAACCTCAATAACTCAAACCTACCACAGTCAAATATCTCACTACAGTAGAATCTTGTTACAACGAAGCAATCCTTCCTCTGGTTTCATCCAGTGATTTGCACCTTTTTCATCAAAAAAATAGAATAAAAATTGTACATATCTGAACTCAGTTGATCCTCGATAACTCAAATACCTTTCAAAACTTTTTTCCGTGTCATCGAAAATAAAAACATCTGATCATTATTCGCCTAAATAATCAGAGTTGTAAATCGAAGAGCCTTCAAACACACTGTTTCGTTGGAAGCAGCGCAAATCCGAAAGAGTTTCGTTAAATTAAAATCATTTCAACCGAGCGGCGGAAATGCAGTGGTTGAAAAATGTGCAACATTTTCTTACAATGACCATATTTAAAAAAAACGTTTTCAAATTGAGGACAGTAACTGGTGCTCGAACGCGGCGGAATCTATTCTGGAAACATGCCTCAGGGAATCGGAGGTGGAAATATGACGTCCATCGACGCCATGGACGGACGACCCCAGATTGAAGTCGATATGGCCATTATCAAGGAGAACATTGACGAGTTCTTCATGCTCACCTGCTCGTTCATCATCTTCTGTAAGCACTCATTCGCTGATGTTCGTGTTCATTAGCTTCCGACTGATGAGGATTTGAAAATTTCACCACAGTCATGCAGACGGGATTCGCGCTCCTGGAAGCTGGTTCCGTGCGTTCCAAGAACACCACCAACATCTTGATGAAGAACACCTTAGATTTACGTGAGAAACCTTTCAAATAAAAAAAAAATCAGTCAAACTGACCCAATTTCAAGAATGTAAAACTCACCTTTTCAGCCAAAAGCAAAAATTCCAGGCATCATTTTTTCTGAAACCCACCCAGTTTTTCTTGAAGTCTGATGAAAAACTAATTTTCGATTTCGCCAATACGTCGTCCAAGCTGAAAATTTCAATATTCAGTCTTCCAGACTAATTCTACATCGTCAATCATTCAAATAATCTCGAATTCGAAGAAAAATCAACAAAACTGATTAATCCAAGCATGGAAAACTCACCTTCTCAGACGAAAGTAAACCTTTCAGACATCATTCTTTCCGAAAACCCACCAGTTTTCCTTAAAAGCTTGATGAAAAACTATCATTTTATTTCGCCAAACGGAAAACTCCAATAATTCAGTCTTTCTCGCTAATTCTACATCTTCAGCCATTCAAATAATGTCGAATTGAATATCTCCGATGGATCAGGAAATCGCTCAATACTGTATTAGAATTTCTCCCGATTTTTGAAAATCAGTCACAAGTCATGAATCTACGCAATTATTAATTTTCTTCCTTGAAACACTGAAAGAATCAGTAACAGCCTCCCAAGAAAAAAACACCTCCTTTCAAATCCCGATTTCGTCATACGGTATTTCATGAAACTAGATTCTTCGCAACGTCCATACAATTTACGGTACATCGTCAAAAGCCCTAATATTGAGTAAAACTTCCAAGCGGAAAAGAACTAACACATTCTGATTTACACATCCGTTTCTAGTCATCGGTGGAATTTGTTACTGGGCCTGTGGTAACGCTTTTGCCTTCACCAATGGCAACGCATTCATTGGATTGGAGCGATTCTTCTCCATCGGCATTGAAATGAGCCACTATTCCAAGTGGCTCTACGGCTTCTGTTTCACGTCAACAGCCACAACTATAGTGTCTGGAGCAGTTGCCGAGCGATGCTCCTTCGTCGGATACCTCATCTATACTTGCACCATCTCGGGTAAAAACAATCAAAACACTCGTCGAAAAATAGAAGAAACCCGTCACTTCGAACCCGTAAAAAATATTTAGTCGATTTGAGCGAACGAAGCTCTTCCTGAAAACTAAAATCGAGGCGAACAATTCTACTGAAAAGCATCTCGGTTTTTGAAATCAAGCGCATCATCACTTCTGAAATAATTGAGACAAAAAAATTTCCCAAATCCTTGAAACAGCAGAATCTCGTTACAACGAAGCGTTTCAGACCTTAAAAAGCTTCGTTACAAAATAAAATTTGCTCTTCATAATGACTGAAATCGAGATGAAAAATTCTACTCGATAGCGTCTCAGTTCTTGAATCAAGCGCATGATCGCTTCTGAAATTTTTCGATCAACAAGTCTCCAGAATCCATTCAATCAAGTTCTTGATGGAGTAGAAATCTCGATACAACGAAACGTTTGAGACCTAAAAAAAAGCTTCGTTATAAACGAAAATTTTCTCTTCCCATTGACTAAAATCGAGGTAAAGAGTTCTACTCAATAACGTCTTAGTTTTGAAATCAAGCGTATGATCACTTCCGAAATTTTAACATCAAAAAGTCTCTCAAATCCACGCAAGTAAATTCTTGGTACTATAGAATCTTGTGCCACCGAAGCACTTAAAAAAAGAATCATTATAAAAAAAAATTGTCGAAAGGACATTGAGGTTTTTGAACATGGACCGAAAAATAAATTTGTATTAAATTAGTTGTAATCCTTAATTCGTTGAAGAAGAGATTTGTTGCATCGATGTTCAGTTTACACGTAAAAGAGTTACAATCGTAATTTCTGCAAGAATCAAGTTGGTAACTCCAGGATGAGTAGAAAGAATCATCGAATTCTGAAGAAATTCAATTTAATCCAACTCAACCTTTGCATTCACTGATCAATTTGAATAATTTATATTCGCGACCCATAATCAATAACCCCTAAAGAATACAAAGGGTATCACGGGATATCAACGAAAATTTCAAGTTATCAGACACTTTTCCTTATTGTAAAGCGGATTTTCAAGTTTAAAACGCAAACGTGGCATTAAATCGACGTTTTTCGTTGTTGCTACTTTCACGCACGAATATTCCAGGTTTGGTGTATCCAGTCGTGGCGCATTGGATCTGGGGACCCGGAGGTTGGTTGGTAAATACACCATTCAAGGACTTCAGTGGTTCAGCTGTGGTCCACATGACTGGTGGTAGCGCAGCTTTCATCAGCTGCATTGTTCTCGGACCCCGCATCGGACTGTACGACAAAAATGGTGTCAGACGACCGATTTTGGGCCACTCCACTCCTGTAAGCATTTCACAAAATTACATGAGGTGGAACAGCACATACAGAAAAAAATCTACGGCACAAATACATAAATCTATCAATGAAAGCATGAGTCACCAATAACCAAAACCCACCCATAGGGTTCCTCAATCTTTTTTCTTGACTGGTGGAGATTTACTTGACTGGTGGAGAGGTTCTAGACACAAAAAAGCCTTGGGCTACCTTATATCTTACAATTTCAATAAATTGTGTTTATCAGTTTTGATATAAGGTGCCTTAGTATTCATAGCCTAATACAGGTGGTACCTTGCAATTTGACCCTAATCCATTGCCAAACTAGGGTTGACTTGCAAATTGGGTCAAATTGACCCTAATCCATTGCCAACCTAGGGTTGAATTGAAAATTGGGTCAAATTGCAAGTCACTCCGTGAAATTCAAAAATATAAGTACAAAAATTCAAAAAAGTGGCCAAAGCAGGTGCTATTGTGGGGCAAGGGTTGAATTGCAAGTCAACCTCCCAGCAAATTTGACCGTCAAATTGCGGGAGGTCTAATAGCAAGGTATCAACTGTACCAGATTTACTCAAGTGCAGTGTTCCCCAACCTATTTGGACCTGCAGACATGACAAAAAAAATTGTCTGCAGACCTGCAAAGTTTCATAAAATTTTTTCCAGACCCAGAAGAGTTTTGCATGAAAAACTTGATGGAAGGTATGCAAGAAGTTTCTGCTTCTTGCAAAACACACGTCAAGAACCAATGAAGCAGCTACAGTGGAATGTCTTCAAAAATTAGAAGGATGGACTTGAAGCTAGGTTTCTGAGAATGAAAAATTAGGACAATTTATTTCAGGGGGTGAAAATTGATCTGAAGCATTATTGGTCAAAGGCAACTTTCCTTTTTCATCAGATAATTTCAACTGCAATTGTCCATCAACATTTTCAGACAAAGATAACATACTTCATTGCTATTTCTTATAAATGTTTCATGCTAAAGAAACTTTCACATGGACCAGCAAAAACCTTCTGTGGATCAGTGTCAGTCTGTGCACCATGAGTTGGGGAACACTGCTCTAGTGCCACATGCCCTTAGTATTCTTTAAAGCTAAAATTTCAGAAAAAGATGCACCCCTCAGTTAACAGTTGCAAAAAATCATATCTTTAAAACTTCATGGAGTGCAAATCTAAACACAAGCCCACTTAAAAATTGAATTCAATGTTGCTGATTTTGTCTCATGCAAATCATAGAATTATTAAATATGAGGACTTGAAAAAAAAACTTCAAGTGGGAAAAAACGGTTTTAAAAATGTCATTAGGAAATTTGTACCTGAAAAAGATTTGCCCATCAGGAAAAGACCATTGACCAGATGAAGAATTCTCCGCACGCCAGATTAGCCAATGGGCCACATTTTTGGGCAGCACTGATCTGCAATTTTCTTTCTATGATTAAAAAAAAAATTTTGCTCCACTTCTCACCAGCTTGCATCCCTGGGCTGTTTCATCTTGCTCTTCGGATTCCTGGCCTTCAATGCGTCATCGAGTGGAAGCATGTCAAAATTGGGAGATGGATCCCGTACAAGCAAGGCTGTGGCAAATACTGTATTATCCGGATCCGCTAGTGGACTCACAGCCTTGTTTGTTCATCGTCTTGGCTTATTTGTCAACGAGGGCAGGGAACGCGCAACCTGGAGCTTCTTGCTTGTTGTCAATGGCGCCTTTGTAGGCATGGTGAGTAACACAAGGAGTCTTCTCTATACAGCAAAATCTTGTTACAACACAGCAGAAAACAGTTTTGTACACTCACTTAATTTGTCATACTGTAATGAGGTTTTCAAATTTATTGAACAGAAAAAAATTGATTCACATCAGACCTGCTGCCAAAATACATTAGATCTTCATTTTCTAGCATTCTCAGATTTGTTTCTTATTGTTAAAAAAACTCAGTAATGTTCTAGAAAAAACTAGCATCAATCACACATTTGATCAGTTGCATCAATCTTAATTTTGAGAGGAAGCAATTTTTGTCATTGATTGCAACTTCCACCTATCCCAAAAGAACCAGTCAGTCACATTCTGGATCAGAAATCACAGACTGTGCCAACCTTACTCAAAAAATGTCTACTCACAAATATCTACCATATTTACTTGAGTACAATGCCCCCTCAAGTAAGGCATGAACCAGGGTTTTCCAGTCAACTTTTTAAAAATAAAATTTTATCCTCAAGTGACAAACGCCCCATTTTTAGTGACTATAAAACTGCAAGGTTTAAAATGTTTTTTGCAAGAGTTTGGATTTAGACATGATTTGACCCTGAGTTTAACTAATTTTCAATCATTTCCAATGCAGTAAGTTTTTCACTTGAAATTGGTCCAAATTTTTAAAATTGTAGAATCAAATTTAATGCACACCTAAATTCCTAAAACTTTTAAAAATGTACACAAATCTATGATGCGCACCCCCTTCTTCCTTCTAAAATCTGAGAAAAAATGTGCAAGTGGTACTCCAGTAAATATGGTACAGAACTAAACATTCCTAAAAAACATTTGGCACACTGGAATTGGGAAGTATGGCAGAACAAGATTTTTTTCAACATATACTATACAGGTTTTCTGGACGGACTTGGTAAAAAGTTTGTTATGCTGAAAAATAAGTTGTAACAAAATTTCACTGTAATTGTGAAAAGCACGTCGGAATCTTCATCGATAAAACCGACATCGTTTTCACTCAAAAAAATAAAAAGGTTTCCATTTGCGCTGGCTGTGATTCATACGCACCATGGGCATCAGCTTTAGTTGGCATGGGAGCTGGTACAGCATTCTTGTTCGTCAGATTCTTGACTTGGAAGAGCAAATGTGAGTGCTGCGAAGTCAAATTCCTTTTCGTGTCATTCAATCAAGATTAATCTCTCCTTTCCTCCTCCAGACATCGATGATCCACTCGACACGATTGCTGTTCACTTCACCGGAAGCTGGTGGGGAATGATCGCATCCGGACTTTTCACAGCCAACGGTCTCATTTCAGGAAACCCCATGGTTCGTAGCTTCACTTCTGTGAATCAATTCTTTTCTGGGAATGGGTGCAATCATGGCGTGAATGTGATTCCAAGGTCTTGGCATGGAACGTGTTGGGAGGACTCTGCATATCTGCCTGGAGCATGACCATGATTGGAACTTGTTTCGGGATAATGCGTTATTTCAAGATTCACAGAGTCAGCGCAGAACAAGAAATTAGTGGTATCGACGTGTCCAAGCATAACGAGCCTGCATATCCAGTAGAAGCCTGGATTGACGACCACTGCTTCCTGAACGGAACCATCGTTGGAGATGAGAAGGACAAATGCAGTAAGTGCAACATACTAATGGATTATGATCTAAATTGGCAGCTTAGCCAACTGAAAGGCTTTCAAAATACAGCACTGCACCAACTACAGTTTGAAGGACGCCAGAACAGTTGCAGTTTTGAACCACTCTAAGTTGAATTTCAAGGGACCAGCAACAAATTGAGTTCAAACAAGCATTTTTGCTGTGGAAATGGAAGAGGAATTGCAGGAAATTTTAAACGGTGAAATTCCAGGTTTTAAATCGCTTCTTGAATGAGTTGACAGGAAGAACTTGGAAGTATGGGTTTATTTGCCCAATCAGTCTTCCACTTACTTTCAAAACACATCAAGTTACTTTTTCAATTGTTTCTATATTTCCTGTGACATTTGAGTTACAGAGATTTGAGAGGAAAAGCCTATGAGTTGAGAGAGATTTTTAATGCATTGTTTCTAAAGGGGATTCAGACAGGGACTTGAAATAGTTTGACTTAGAGAGGTTCAACTGTGTTATACACTTCAGTGACATCCCAACACTTTTTTCATGAAGCAACCGGAAATGATAATTAAATTTAGACCAGTTTCAAACAAAATTTTGTGCAGATCAGACAGAAAACCCCTTCGTATGAATTTTAAAACATATTCAAACTAAACAACTTGATTGCACTCAGCTGATTTTCGCAAGACAAAAACGTTTCATGATATAGTAAATATGGTACATTGTACCACAACCGCTGTACCTTAATCACCGGAATAATTTTACATTTTTAATCATTCAAAAACTTCATAGAAACGGAGGCCGGAGGAGGCGTTCCAGGTTTACCAGGTTTTGAAATGCAAGAAGCTTCTGCAACCCGTTACCCAATGTACTCCGTCGTGAACCCCGAGAACATCAACGACGTTCCCTCAGGAAGACGAATTTCCATTCACAGCTGCAGGTAATTATTACAAGATTCGCGATGAGTAGAAAGCATTTAAATCAACACCGTTTTCCTTCGCAGTTATGTAAGGAGTCTTAGTCAAGCTATCAACAGCGCTTCACGAAGAAGTTCTTTGGCTGGCGCAGCACATGGTAACTATGGGCACTGAATTCAATCTCAAGAGACCACTTCTAAACTGACGATGTCAGACATTCCAGAAATTTCGACCACTCCACAACAAGCATGAAGGCTTCGGCAAACAGAAATATCCCGAATGTCGATGAACTATTGTGTGCCTTAGACGTCTTTCCAAGATGATCCTTCCTCGTAAAACATCAGTAGGAACTGACACCACATTTCTCCGGTCAACCGGCAAATGCTGATTGGTCAATGATGCAGCTGCGGATGCGTAAATATTTTGAGTTGAATATTAGTTTCGTCTTCGTGTCGTGCGGAAGAAAAAATATATGTTTCTCACAAAATAAATTTGGTTTCGATTTTTTACTCAGGAAGCTACGCTGAGCAAAGCGTTCGAGGAAAACACCTGAAGATCAACTTTCGTGAGATCAAATAGTCTTATGAAACTTCCATTACAGACTTGTATGCTCAGCATATTTCTAAAGGGAATTTGAAAAAGCTTCGAACACATGTATTCCTCTTTTTCTTTGCTTTATTAGTTGGTTAGTTTTAAATGTAGTCCACTTCTCATAGTTTTCAGTCGTTCTTTGGTTCTTAGTGTCATATTTTACGTAGGCCCTTTCATTTTTAACTTTTTTATTTAAAAATTCGAGTTCAAAGTAAGGAAAGTTTGACGGATAAAATCTAGATCTTGGAAAGTAACTGGTAAAGTGGTAATAATTAGCTTTTATCTTGTCACCAAAAAACCAGGAACACTATTCAATAATGACAGGTCGTCAAAAGCACAACACGAGTCTATGATCACACAGGTTCGTAGCAAATTTTTGAATAGCACCGACTACGACTGACAGACTGTACACTCATCTTTCGATGGCAAGATCGAAACACATTCTTCTGAATTCAAGCGTTTCACATGCTCGGGTGCGTACAGGTGAAGAATTTGACTAGCGACTCTGAAGGTTTCTGTATCCATAATAGTATTCACTACGCGGATTTTCTCTGCCTCAAGCTCGGCCAATCTGGATTGCTTCCGTTTGTTCCTACGGGCATGGAACCACTGGGAAATGCGTCTGACAGCCCAAAGCCTAGTCGAGAACGAACGAATTCATTGATGATCGAACACTCCTTTGAATGCACATAGAAGACCTTACAGGAAAGGCGAGATCAGAACAGGAACTGCATTCGCGAATTTTCTTCGTTGTTCAGGTTGACTGATGAATACAATGATTGCTAATGATGCCAATGAATATGATATCACGGAGTACGTTATCAATCTCTTGGCAACGAGTTTCTGTCGCTCCTTATCCTCCAATCGCAGATCTTCAAGGTCGTTGATCTCCTGTTGCAAACAACTTCAATTGATTACCAAGTGCACTAGAAGCGAGTATCGATAACTCACTTTCACAATGGCGATTAAACGGTCGGCAGGCGATTCTCGTCCCTGAACCAATACAATCATTAAAACTACATTAGCCCCACACAGAAATCTTCAGTGAAATTCGAGCCTTTTTTCGCATACACGTAATGCATGAAACGAGTTGAAAATGTGTAAAACCGACACTTACCCTCAGACGGGAAAGAAACGCCCCCATGAAGACGTTTCGATGTGTCGCAACTAGAAGGGGGAGTTCAGACTAGCCCACAATGCGGAATCGCGCGATTTCGGAACAGCCAAATAAAAACCAAAATCCATCAAAAGATAAAGCGCTTTTCTGAGGGTTCAATCAACATATTCCGGAATCAATTCGATATTATTCACGAGACATTCGGAATCGCTCCACACTCCACACTTGCAACTGAAATAAGCGGCAATCCCGCCGGAGTGTCCACTGCACAGGGCGCTCCCATGGCAAATGAAAGAGCTCGAGTCGTTGCCACAGGGAAACGATCTTTTGAACGCAATGAAGTTCAAAAATTGTACACTAATTTACTTCAGAGCACAGTGTTATTTCCACAACGGCTTCTTATTGAAGTCTGATGCGAACTACCTTACAAGAATACACAGTGCATTGAACAATTAATGACTGTAGCTCCAATTTCGGGCATAGACCTTTATAGGCATGCCACATTTTGTGGTAATGCATTAGTCTTTTACTTTTCAAAAACTCAATTTTGAATTTTTGTCCCCTTAAAGTTGCTGCTCTTTACCATCAGACGTTTATATACAGGATACTCTTTTTCTTATTGGTCCTCATTTATAATTTCTAGTCCAGGTTACATAAAATTGTTTTCAATCTATGCACCACTATTAAACTCACGCAAGATGCCCAACACTAATTTCTTTTAACGTATGAAATGGTCGTAGTCACGTATTTTTGAACGTCTTAAAACGGTAGTATCACGACAATATGTATCGATAGTATACGTGACAAAAGTTCATCTTTTATTTACTTTTATTAGGTCTATCTTCAACTTTCTGCAGCTTCTATACTTTATTACATCCAGCAGTGCTTCGCAATATCCACTATTATCTGGCTACAAAGCAATACAGTAATAATAAACGCAAAACAACAGAGGCAAAAATGGATCACGTAATATATTCATAGATGGAATTCAATGACTTCTCCTGAATAAAACTTGGAATTCTCTGAGTTTCATAAAACTCAAGCAGCACAGGATAATATCAACTAATAGGAAGTGCCAATAATAAGAAAAGAAATACCACTTCAAAAGGCGCAGGATACTTCAAACAGGAAAGTATTTTGACTGTTTGACTCTTTGCAATAAAGACATAACCATAAAAGCTTTTGTCAAGTTCGTATAATCACTTATTCGACTTTTAACACCTTCACGTTGAATATCAATGGGGAAACGAGGGAGTGGAACTTGACCTTACTAATGTCATACCTCCGGACTTCCTGAGTTTCCAGGCATAGTTCGTTAATCCTCATTCACACTTGCAACTATGCTCAATCACATTCAAACAGAAAATTCTAAAAAAAAAAAAACTTGGAAAGAAAATCAGCAAACTTCCCACAGGAAAATATTTTCATAGCTCATCAAAATCAAATCACTCCTACAGGAACAAAAAGTGAAGTTGAACAATGGTAGAAAATAGGAGAAAACATAGAAAAAAATGTTTGCTTATATATAGTGTGTTTGCTGTAACTCTTGCTCAACTCAAGTATACCAAAGATTCAACAAAAAGAGCAACATAAAGATCTCGCAATGGTTCAGTAAAAACTACTGATGTTCATCCTGTCATTCATATGACATGGACTCCTGTGTGACCAGCCTGAGTTTCCTAGGAGACACCATGGCATGGTTGAACTTTTCTCTGGAAGGCACTGGGGTCATTGTCTCCAAAGGTGACAATAACTTATCTCCAATTCCTAATTGCTTCTTGATGTAACGAGCAACCAGCTTTTGGGGCCTTGTTTGCCATTCTTCCAGAACTTCTTTGGGAGATGCAACCTATATGCAATAAATAGTTAATGCATATTTATCAGCAAGATTACGTACGTCCTCTCCTCAAATGTCCAATGTCTACATTCTGAGATAAAAATCCCTCCTGTCTTATCTATATTTGTCAAACATGTAACCATAGTTATAAATTCATTAGGTTTTTCTTCAGTTAAAAATTATGAATTGAGGTACAGTCAACCCCCGTCTAACAGACTTGATTTGTGCAAGGGACAAGTCTGTTAGACGAAAAGTCCTTTACACGAATTAAATTACATAAAAATTGAAAATTTCAATTTTCAATGTTTGGTGGATTTAGTCTGTTGGGCAGGAGGAAAAACTGCTTGCAGAGCTGGTCTGTTTGGCAAAAATCCCTTACACGGGAGGTCTGTTAGGCGGGGGGGGGGCACTGTATTTTGTTTCTTTTTACAGACCTGATCACCATGAAGCCGGTTGAGGAGAGCCACACAAACAACTGCAGCTTTTATCTTGGCATATTGACACTGGGCTGCAAATGCCAGGGACTCCATTTCCATGTTCACCACTCCTTCATTCCGTATCATTTTAAGGAAATCCATTTTGTCCTCCTCTGTAAATTTACAAAATGCTCCGTCCATTCGACCTTGGCCTGAAATTTAAAAAAATTACACGCATGAAAAACTCAAATAAATAAACGCTAGAGTAAGCAGTAAAAATATAATTGTGCAAGAAATGGAGTTACATTTGATAATGGATTCGTAAATAACCTTGATGGGAAGTGTATAAAGTTAGGATTCCATTTAAATCCTGAAAACCTGTTCCTCATCTTCACTAATGCCAAGAAAGTCATTTTCAATGGAAGTGGGTAAAGTACAAAATAAATTGAATGCAGTACCGAAAAAATTGTGCATATGATGCCTCTTGAAGCTATCGATCTTCTCATAAAATTTAAATTTTCAATAAATTTTATAAAGGCAAGCAGATTTTAAAAACCGATTGAAGCCATAATGAGCAAGGAAACTGAAAGTCAAAATTTCAATTGCTCAAATCTTCAACAAATACAAATTGTCCCGACACGATATTTTAAAAAGTCCGAGGAGCCGATAAACGAACAACTTTATTGTACGCATTGTAAAATGTATATCGACGATCTAATTTTAAAGATCTAGTCGGCATTTTTTATGAATAATTATAAAAAAAATAATACACAGCAAACTTGTATCTTTTTCAATGCACAAACCTTCGTAAAAATCGTTGGTACACATGGTTTTCCCGCATTCCGTTTGCCACGGATCATCAGGATTTGCCAATTCCATCAACTCGTCCACCAATTCAGCGTCCAATTCAGCAGGTCTACGAACTTTCTTCCCCAAAACTGTCTGCAAAAAAAAAAAAGGTAAAAATAATTGAGTAGTGAAGACTCGAAAAATCCTGAAAACCGCGACAGATTTTTGCTTGAAATTAATACTGGGAGTAAATTCACATACGCACTTAGTCCCGAAGTTTATTTCTAGTTTAAAAAAAGAGGCTGTAGAAATCTGAAAATGCCAAAAATGTGATTGAAAATAATCAAGAAATACACTTGCAAATTTATACTGAAATTGATGATTTTCAAAATTAAAAATAAAATCCGAGGACCTGCATTATAATTTTCACCAGAAAATAAAGGCTAGGATCATAATGAGATTATTTAGTCTTTTATTCAAATTCAAATTGAATAATCGACTGACAGTTGAATTTTTTTTATGCTGAGTAACATTATTTAGTGAAATATCTGAGACAGACAAGAGTGACAGAATTCAAGAAATGAAAAAAAAATCAGAATTTAAAAATTATTTCCATCTGGCAGCTCTTCTTTTCCCCAAGCATTGCATATACAGTAATTGATGTTTCTGGTCAGACAATTCGAATAATAAGTTATCGGGTCTTTTTTCAAATGATAAAATATTATTTTCTGGTAAAAAAATAAATTTATTGCCATGGCTAATTTAAGGAATTATTTCCGGTTTTTTTTAAATATCTGAAGCATTTTTGCAATACATTTCTGATAATTCTTCCTAGACCGTTTCAGAATACGCCATGGACAAAAATAATATTTTTTTCAGAGAAACAGGGTTAAAATAAACATAAATCAGCCATTATCATAATACAGCATTCATTTAAAATAAAACTTCAAAAATGCTTCAAATATTGCTGATCACAAGGAAAAAGAAAAGATTTCAAATCGCGACCCTTCCTGAGGGTTTCGAGCAAACAAGTTCTCCTTTGGTTTTGTTGTCGTTTAAAAAGATGCATGTATCAATAATTTATTTACCAGTTCGTAGAAAGGATTGAGCTCGCCGTCGACAGCTTCAGTGCTGACGATAAGGTTCCCGCCGTCGATTCCGATCCCGCCACAGGTTCCGATCCGGAAGAAAACCGGGTTCACGACCTTGGCATGGTACAACAACTTGATCACCTCGTGGAGCAAAATGCTGATGGACGGCATTCCCATTCCGTGCTAAAAAGAAGAAAATGAAAATAAATTCAATCTTCATGCTGGTGACCATCAGTAAGCTTTCAAGTTTGAAAATGAAATAACGTTTGAAAAGGGGAATTTTTGAGTTGACAGGATCCTGAACTCATTGGAGGCAATAAAGGGCACACTTCCATAATTAGTCTCTCACTTCATTTTTAAAATTCATTGAGGAATTTTTATCGAGTTTTCTCTTTCCTTAGTCCCCAGAATAAACGTGATTAACGGAGATTTGAGAGGAAAGTCTGCGAGTTCTTAATGGAATTCAGACAAGGTTTAAAAATTTGTTTTACACAGGGAGATTTTACACTCACGGAGGTTTGAGTTATGATTTCCATACAGTAGCCTGAAATATTTACCAACGCACCTTTTGAATTTGCAATAAAAAAAAATATGGACCTTGATAGCTCAAACTTTCTCAAATAAAATAAAGGTGGACTCTATCTACAATGATCTTGTCTACAATGATTTTCTCTATACAGTACAACAACCTTTTTTTTGGGTCACATTGGGTCCTATGTTATAGGAGTTTTCTACAACAAAATTCACTCTACAATGATTTTTTTTCTGGGCCTTTGCATTTTGTTGTAGGGACAGTCCACCTTTACTGTATTCCCGTATTTTTTTTTAGAAACCAAACATTGAACACATCCTTAACTTGAAGGATTTCCTCACAACCTCTCTACTAAGTCAAATTTTCCAAAGGTCTTCTGCTAATATTTGGGGAACTTGACAGAAAGAGGCATTCAAAATGTAACCTAATGTCCTTGTTGGGCATACACGCCAAAGTACAATAAAATACTCGTTTCCTAGAATTAAAAGAGATGTTCCCCCCTCCTCAAAATTGAGACATTAAATTTTGAGACCGCGGCATCTAAAAGAAGTCTGTTTGGTGGATTTAGTCTGTTGGGCGGGAGGAAAAACTGCTTGCAGAGCTGGTCTGTCCGGCAAAAATCCCTTACACGGGAGGTCTGTTAGGCGGGGGGGGCACTGTATTTTGTTTCTTTTACAGACCTGATCACCATGAAGCCGGTTGAGGAGAGCCACACAAACAACTGCAGCTTTTATCTTGGCATATTGACACTGGGCTGCAAATGCGAGTGACTCCATTTCCATGTTCACCACTCCTTCATTCCGTATCATTTTAAGGAAATCCATTTTATCTTCCTCCGTAAATTTACAAAATGCTCCGTCCATTCGACCTTGGCCTGAAATTAAAAAAAATTACACGCATAAAAAACTCAAATAAATAAACGCTAGCGTAAGCAGTAAAAATATAATTGTGCAAGAAAAGGAGTTACATTTGATAACGGATTCTAAAATGACCTTGATGAGAAGTGTATCAAGTTAAGATTCCATTTAAATCCTGAAAACCTGTTCCTCATCTTCACTAATGCCAAAAAAGTCCTTTTCAATGGAAGTGGGTAAAGTACAAAATAAATTGAATGCAGTACCGAAAAAATTGTGCATATGATGCCTCTTGAAGCTATCGATCTTCTCGTAAAATTTAAACTTTCAATAAATGCTATAAAGGCAAGCAGAATTTAAAAACCGATTGAAGCCATAATTAGCAAGGAAACTGAAAGTCAAAATGTCAATTGCTCAAATCTTCAACAAATACAAATTGTCCCGACACGATATTTTAAAAAGTCCGAGGAGCCGATAAACGAACAACTTTATTGTACGCATTGTAAAATGTATATCGACTGTCTTAATTTAAAGATGTAGTCGGAATTTCTTATGAATAATTATTTAAAAAGAATACACAGCAAACTTGTATCTTTTTCAATGCACAAACCTTCGTAAAAATCGTTGGTACACATGGTTTTCCCGCATTCCGTTTGCCACGGATCATCAGGATTTGCCAATTCCATCAACTCGTCCACCAATTCAGCGTCCAATTCAGCAGGCCTACGAACTTTCTTCCCCAAAACTGTCTGCAAAAAAAAGATAAAAATAATTGAGTAGCGAAAATTCGAAAAATCCTGAAAACCGCGACAGATTTTTGCTTGAAATTCATACTGGGAGTAAATTCACATACGCATTTAGTCCCACCGTTTTTTTCTAGTTAAAAAAAAAGAGACTGTAGAAATCTGAAGATGCTAAAAATGTGATTGTAAATAATCAAGAAATACACTTGCAAATTTATACTGAAATTGATGTTTTTCAAAATTAAAAATTAAATCCGAGGACCTGCATTATAATTTTCACCAGAAAATAAAGGCTAGGATCATAATGAGATTATTTAGTCTTTTATTCAAATTCAAATTGAATAATCGACTGACAGTTGAATTTTTTTTATGCTGAGTAACATTATTTAGTGAAATATCTGAGACAGACAAGAGTGACAGAATTCAAGAAATGAAAAAAGAATCAGTATTTAAAAAGGAATTTTTATCTGGCAGCTCTTCTTTCCCCAAGCATTGCATAAAATTGATGTTCTTGGTCAGACAATTCGAATAATAAGTTAACGGGTCTTTTTTCAAATGATAAAATATTATTTTCTGGGAAACATGATAAAATTTCTTGCTAGGGCTCATATAAGGAATGAATAGGGGTTTTTTTAAAATATCTGAAGCATTTTTGCAATTCCTTTCTGATAATTCTTCCAAGAGCGTTTCAGAATACGCCATGGACAAAAATATTAATATTTTTTTCAGAGAAACAGGGTTAAAATAAACATAAATCAGCCATTCTTCGTTTAAAATAAAACTTCAAAAATGCTTCAAATATTGCTGATCACAAGGAAAAATAAAAGATTTCAAATCGCGACCCTTCCTGAGAGTTTCGAGCAAACAAGTTTTCCTTCTGTTCTGTTGTACTGTATAGTTTAAAAAAAAAACGATGCATGTTTTAATAATTTATTTACCAGTTCGTAGAAAGGATTGAGCTCGCCGTCGACAGCTTCAGTGCTGACGATAAGGTTCCCGCCGTCGATTCCGATCCCGCCACAGGTTCCGATCCGGAAGAAAACCGGGTTCACGACCTTGGCATGGTACAACAACTTGATCACCTCGTGGAGCAAAATGCTGATGGACGGCATTCCCATTCCGTGCTAAAAAGAAGAAAATGAAAATAAATTCAATCTTCATGCTGGTGACCATCAGTAAGCTTTTTAGTTTGAAAATGAAATAACGTTTGAAAAGGGGAATTTTTGAGTTGACAGGATGCTGAACTTATTGCAGGCAATAAATGGCACACTTCCATAATTAGTCTCTCACTTCATTTTGAAAATTCATTGAGGAATTTTTATCGAGTTTTCTCTTTCCTTAGTCCCCAGAATAAACTTGATTAACAGAGGTTTGAGAGGAAAGTCTACGAGTTCTTAATGGAATTCAGACAAGGTTTAAAAATTTGTTTGACACAGGGAGATTTTAGACTCTCGGAGATTTGAGTTATGATTTCCATACAGTAGCCTGAAATATTTACCAACGCACCTTTTGAATTTGCAATAAAAAAAATATGGACCTTGATAGCTCAAACTTTCTAAAATAAAATAAAGGTGGACTCCATCTACAATGATCTTGTCTACAACGATTTTCTCTATACAGTACAACAACCTTTTTTCTTGGGTCACATTGGGTCCTATGTTATAGGAGTTTTCTACAACAGAATTCACTCTACAATGATTTTTTTCTGGGCTTTTGAATTTTGTTGTAGGGAGAGTCCACCTTTACTGTATTCCTTTTTTTTTGAAAACAAACATTGAACACATCCTTAACTTGAAGGATTTCCTCACAACCTCTCTACTATAAGTCAAATTTTCCACAGGTCTTCTGCTTATATTTGGGGAACTTGACAGAAAGAGGCATTAAAAATGTAACCTAATGTCCTTGTTGGGCATACACGCCAAAGTACAATAAAATACTCGTTTCCTAGAATTAAAAGAGATGTTCCCCCCTCCTCAAAATTGAGACATTAAATTTTGAGACCGCGGCATCTTCAACAAGAACTTCTTCTGCTTTGATTGGAAAGTAAAACCTGTTGAAGGTTAAATGTTATCAATATAGTATATAAGCTGCATCCTTCATATTCTCACAGTTACATCAGTTCAGTTCATCTGAGTTATTCCAAGTTATCCACATTATTCTACAAACCCATGCTCATTGAGTCATTATTTGTTATCCTCCTGTGAAATACACCTTATCTATTAAACTAGGAATTCCAAAGTGGAATCCCGGTCCTGTCCCGTACTGATTAACTTGTTTTATATGTCTAAAAATCAAATACTGGACACTAACTTATATTGAAGACATTTGTCCTCAATAGTCCTTCTAGAAAAAAAGTTACTGATTGAGTGAATAAACCCTTGCCTTCAAGTTCAACATCCTTTCAACTAATTTAAGAAGCAATTTAAGGCCCAAATATCACAAATTTCAACTTCCTGTAATTTTTTTGTCATCCCCCTCCCTGCCAACTCCAGAAAAATGCTTCTTTTTGAAACTCAAAGTCAAATTTTTGCTGATCCCACAAAAGTTAGGGGAAGAGGGTCAAACTGTATATAATTGAATGGGTAGCTGAAATAAAATTTTGTCGGTCCCAACCTTGTCAGTCTGGAATAATCAAATTAACCCTTGTGCAGCAAAGTCAGGATATTTTGTGAAATTTGGTGTCCATGAGTACTGACAATTTAAAAAATTGATTTATGCACCAAAGCATAAGTAAGGAAAAAGTCCAAAAACTTTTCAATCCTGAAGAAAAATTTGCCTAACAAATATCTATAAAGAAATTCCTCACTGGGTTGCTTTTTTCAGTAATTCCTTGCATAGGATTAACATATTAGAGATTTTGGAATACAAAAGGATTCCCCCTTCCCAGATTTTTCCCAACTTAGGGCTTCCAAACCTGGGCACATTTCAGTGACCTTTGGTCAAACTGATATGCACCAAAAAAAAAAATCCCAATTTTGCTGCAGGACTGCCAGGAACCCTCTACTGTCCAACGGTTAACCTTGTGGAAGAATATTGTTGTCAAGAATAACCTTGCCTTTATTAACAGTACCACCCAAGATGTTGGGACTTCAGGGATTTTTTGGCTGTACCAGCTAGGTTAGTCCAGTTGTGAATAAAGTGCAGGAAGATTTTTTTTTTTAGAGCTTGTTATCCAGGAGAGGCTTGACAACAATAATCCCATGTTGGAATGACAACCTTATTCCACCATCCCCCAATTGAATATAAATAAATGGCTTACACTGATGGACAGCACGGGTCCGACCTTGTACATGGAATACCGGTACGAATGCTGACTGATGTCACTCAACATGGTCCCAGTGGGTAATTTCAAGTCCAGCTCCACCATGAGGAAGTGAGCGAATTGCTCCATGCGTCTGGGCGTCCCACCCAGACACACAAACTGTGGAGAAGAAAAAAAGAGAACATCTGATTATCACAACAGAAACTGAAGTAAGGTATTTACTCAAGTACCATGCGCATCTTTTTTCTCAAATTTCAGAAGAAAAAAAGGGGTGAGTGTCATAAGCAGGTACGAATTTTTCAAGAAGTTTTAGGAAGTTAGGTGTGATTTATACTTGATTATAATGGAGAAATTAGGAACAAATGTGCCAAGAAAATTTTTTTCTACCAAAAAAGTTGTAAATTGATCAGATTTTGTTTCAATTCATGTCTAAAGTCAAATTTTTTGTTTTTATTTTCTAAATTTTGTGGTTTTAGATTCACTAAAAATTGGGGTGTGCATCTTACTTGGGGATAAGATTTTAGCAAAATTTCCAGCTGAAAAACCCCTGTGCGCGCCTTACTTGAGGGCGCATGATACTCAAGTAAATAGGGTATTATAAGCACCAAAAAACACTTCACAAAGCGCAATTACATAATTGTATGACAGGAAAAATAAAAAAGCAGCTCTTTTTGCAAGCACAAATAATTTAAGATGGACCAAATGCGACCTGACGTCGGCTCCATGCGTCTGAGGCGTAAAAACTGTGCAAAAAAGTAAGAAAATAACACCTCTTTATCAGAACCTATCATGAGTACCAAAAACACGTCAAAAATTGCAATTAAATAATTATTGACAACCAGGGAAAGTAAAAAAAATAATAAAGAACATTTGGCTATGATTAGTGCAAAATAATTTGACAGACCAGATATAAGCGCATTATATTGTATATACTATACTGTAATGGTAGCTCCATCTATACATCTGAGATAACACACAAACTCTTTTGACAGATTCATGGCACTTTAGTAAAAAAATCATGCAATTTTCAAAGGTGTCTAAGTGGTGTAACTCCTGCAGCATAAATACACTGGTTGGTGCATTGCCAGAGCACCTTATCTTCTTATGCCCAGCATTCCATACTGTTAGAAATGAGCTTAAGAAAGATTTACAAGTAAGGTTGAACACCTCTAAGTCAAAATTCAAGGGACCAGCAGCAAAAAAAATTTGACTTAAAGAGGTTTTGAATTAGCTAAAACAAAAAGCCCTTTTTTCTGGGAAACATAGAAAAATTGCTCAAAATTGTAAATTGTAATATTTGAAGGCTGAAATTACTTCTTAAATGAGTTGAAAGCATCATGAACTTGGAGGCAGAGTTAATTTGCCCAATTAAGTCTCTCACCTCCTTTTAAAACAAATCAATTCATGTTTTATTGCTTTTTTTCTTGCTTGTGTCAAGAAAATAAAACCAACAGGCCACAGAAAATTTGACTTATGGAGGGTTGAGGGGAAAAGCCTTTGACTTAGGGAGGTTTTATACATATCAATTCTAAAGGGATTCAGACAGGACCTGAAAAAAAATTCAACTTAGGGGGGTATTTGACTTATAGGGAGGTTTGAGTTATTGAGGCTTGCCTGTATTGGAATTCAAGGAAGAGACCCTTTCTGAAATCATGGAGGATCAAGATAGACTGTTGGCCTTATATGATTTCTCATCAAAGATTTTCTCTAAATTGTTCATTCAACTAAACCTTATTTGGGAACAGGCTGAAGACCTTGTGCTTTAAATATAGTAACTGCTACAATTGCTATAATTCTGGCTTATAATGCAATTCTTGGTACTGATATTTTTTTTTCAATGTCAGGGAAAGAAGGGGATGTATGCATACACATCAGTTGTGCAGCTGCACATCTTGGAATGTATTTTCTTATATTTTGGTATCCATATACAGCTTTTTTCTCTGTTTCCCATTCTGAAGTGATTGAATGCCTTTGAAAGGATTGATTTTGCGTTGGGTGGGGAGGAGGTTTGCGAATGTGGGAATGTTGATTGAACTTTGTGAACACTGAATAGCAGAAAATAAAGCCTTCTGTCCATTCATTCATTCAGAACGTTTTTTTTTAAACATAAACTATCATAATCACAAAAAACACGTCACATAGTACAATTAAAAATCATTTGACAGGGAAAATTTAAAAAATAACACCCTTTTTGCGATTATTATATAATTCACAAAATATTCGGAGAGACAAAAACCAGCCCGACCGCAACTCTATCCGTCGACACAAAAAAACTGCACCAAAAAATTATTTTTATAAGGAAGTAGAGCGATTGATCCTCACCAAAAGCCGTGTCATACAGCAAAAATTAATAATTGCATGATATGGGTGCAATTAAAAAAAATATAGCACGCTTTTCGCGATGATTACTACAAATTAGTTTGAGAGACCAGAAGCCACCTGATGGCGGCTTGATGCGTCACAGGCACTAAAATTGCGGATAAAAACGAAACAAAAAATCCCCATCCACCAGAAACTGTTACAAACGCCAAAAACATGTCGCAGAAATATATCAATGATGGTTGATGAAAAAAAAGGCACATTTTGCGACGATCAGTACAAAATAATTTGAGACACCAGCAGAAGCGACCCGGCAGCAGCTGCTGTCGTGACGAGAATGGTCTGGTTTTTTGCTCTGCAACAGCCTTTTTGGCGAGGCAAAAAAAAAATTAGACACAATTGCAGCAGCAGGTTTATTCCTGTGAAAGGGGAAAATTCCGACTTTCCCCTTTGCTGTGTAATCTTCGTTTTTTAAAGACCTGATCACACATCTAGTCACTTATCGTAAGGTCATTGAAATTATTCACAGACTACTGTATAATGAAATCCATTCATCAATTGCTTTCAAGGATGGATACTATATTTTTTATTTTTGGCAATTGACACAAATTTTTCACCCAACGTTGTAAAATAAAATGAAAAAGTGATGAAACCCGGTTGGTCCACAATTTCAGAAAATTTCGATTATAAACTCACAGAAAATGAAGCCTTAGATCAGATTTTTTGAAAACAAAAGAATTTCATTTCATTTCAAATATAAAGGAAATTTGTGCATACGTCCATAATAAAATAAGTTAATCTGGTAGAACGTATTTTTCCTGCCAATATTTTGGCTTAGAATAAATCATCAAACATTCTGCACTTCTAAAGTTAAAAAAAAGATACCGTACTTTTGCAGTTAAAAGAAGAGATTACAAAAAAAATGTCTAATTTGTCAAGCCCATTCAAGTAAAGAATTATTAGCACTTCTCCAAAACTTGTCCTTGTACATCTTTGTGAGAAAAGGGTGTAACTCTGGTTCTCACGCCAATTCTTGAACCTCCAAGGTTTACATCACTGATAAAATTTTGAGAAACTCAATAATCTAAAGGTCATCTTCTCAAAATTTTCCACAATCCTTGAAGGATAGTTTTCGTGATACCTTCTTTTTCATATTTTTGTAATTCAAAATCTGAATCTTGTGTGTACTATTTGAAAAGAGCTTGCAAAAAATCGAAGTGACTGATTTTGTACCAACCAAATTACACATACTGTACATTAAAATAGTGTGAAATTCACCCTGTTCATAGCCCAACCGAATTCTCAACTTTAATTTTATCAAGAGTTAGTTTCGCTGAATTTTCAACAGATGACAAAAGACAATTTAGCTAAAAAAAGAATACCTTTAACTATTGATTCACGCGATTTAAATGTACAGTACAGTATATCTATATTTTTCATTCCACAGCAACATAAAATAAAATAAAATCTTTAAAAACATTTTAAAAGTATTATTCGGGCCTTAAAAAATATTCAACACCAAAAGAAAAATGTTGCAAACTTCTTTGCCCTTTTCATTTTCGTTGATAGTGAATACTGTACGAAAATTTGCGTCGGGAAGTTCAAGGAAAATTTAAAACGAATCCAAATATATGTATCTATATATGAAAGAAAAACAACAGCGAAGTCTTCGAAGTGTTTGTCCTTGGATAACCAGCAGGTGTCGAAGTCGACGACGTCGACGTCGGTGTTCGTGTTCACGGCAGCAAAGTCGACACTTGAGCAAATATATAGGGCAAAGAAAAATTTCGGCGCCGACTTTCGCTTTCCTCTTCTTTTTCA